AGCTGCGTGGCTGATGTACCGCGTTCCACGTCTCCTTGCTCCAAGGAGACAGAGTCTAGAAAGTCGAAAAACTAGAAATGTTAACTAAAATTACTGCATTTGGGATTTGGCTCCTTGCTCGTCACCGCAGTGGCTAGAGGAACTTTTTATTGGTCCATCGACTACACACATATGATGGTAGTCAGCTATCGCATGAGTCCAGGAGAGTTGCAACCCTACGAAAAGCGCTTCTATCAGACGGTGTGGCCGTACTTCTAGGTAGTTTTTGTATCGTTGACTAGACGGTTACTTCGCCCTTGCTACTGGAAAGTCAAGCACCTCGATGGTTGAACTGAATCACCGAAACTCAAAATTTGTTACTCAATGAAACTAACAGTTGGGAGAAATCATCACACCTTCCTTCCTCAAGTTTCTAACCGTAGAGTACTGGTTTTTGAAACTGAGTTCATATTACAGCGGTCCCCCTCCATGACAATGCATTTCGCATTCGGTTAGTGCAACATATCGCCCATTGCCAGTCATACCCTTTAAAGGTCGGTTGTTCTTCGACCTGCATATGGGTTAAAGCAGTTTTGCGCAGAGTACGCGCCAATCAAAACTCGTTTCGAACTCATGGTGATATTCTGGCCAGTCTGTAGGTCGTCACACACTAGGTGCAGCTGCATTTAAAGTTTGGGTCAGCGTCTCTGTCTTTGTTGTCTTCCTGAATTTGACTTAAGTAGCTGTGTCCCTTGTCAGGCATGGTAACGCCCTCGTCAGAAGCTGAAGAATGATTGATGCCGTCGATATACTCCAGTCGCTCATACATTTTTAAGCCGACGCTTACGGCTTTATAAGTCACTGGAAACAAAGCACGCTATTAATATACCGCACAAAACTAGTGACGAAGTTTGCTTTTGATCTTACAGATGCCGCCGCCAGGTGATGGATTGCGTATGAGCGAGATGACTTCTCATCGGTGCTACCTGTTCTCCGTTCGATCCTCGATTGCCACAGTCATAATTAATTAGTCGACAAATTCTGTTGTTCATATCCCACTCTGTGTTCTATGACAATGACGCCTACAAATGCAAAGCTGCGCTGTGTCCTCTCTCGTTTGACCTTGAGGGATGGTTTCGCTCAAGGGCGGTTTGGGCAGCAGGCAAACACAGTGTTTATAATGGCGTTGTCAATCGCCATGTAGGGCTAAACAAAGGTTGAACAGTGAAAATGCCAACGCCTCTGACGATGACCTGGTAGGTTCTAAGTTCGTCTCCTCTCCATCGATTGTTTCCACTGGTCGTGTTGTAGCTAAAACTTAGTTAAAATGGTTAACTAGCAAACTGCAACGTATGCAGCTACCCAACGCAGTCGGTAATCAACGTTTCCGGTTGTCTTACAGTTTCTCCATTGTGTCTGTTAATTGTTCTTTGTTATGTGAATATTGTTCATCTTGATTCGTTCAAGAACAGGAAGGAAATTTTTCGATCGTTACGGGTGGCATAGATTGTTAGTGTATGGTCGCCATCGAGAGTCACACACAGTGTACGGTAAAATTTTGTCCTTTTCATTATTCAGGTTAGCACTGGTGCTGATAAAGAAATATTTGTTCGGGCCGCCTTGGCAGTCGTACTGGAAAAGCAGCACCATACTTCGTGGTATTTCGGATGATGAAATAGTCATTTATTGGCATATCACTTGATGCACACCGTATATCGCGATGTGCATAAATAAACCATGTTTTTTGCATTGAATGACTTATGCCCTTTTTCACTGGATGACAAATGTGCCCACGTTTTTTTCAGGATAATGGACGTAATTTTTTGTTTGTGCGAATGGAGCGTTCCATCATTCTGGAGTTCTTCTGAAATTAATACTTTCTTAATATGAGCTTATATGTGGCAGTCGTAATTCATAAAAGGTTGTGCTCGAATTATGCAAGCAGATAGCTATTCCAGTGCGAGAACCCATCGTCCAATTCCAAACAAGATCCTGACAGACTTACATCTCATGGCGGTTAGCTAATTGTGCGATAGGTAATTCTTGCTGCGGTCACCCCTGTTTGGATTGCCAGCAGTAACTGGTACTGAAGTTAGAGTTTCTGGTTCATGCGTTGGTGGTCACACTAAAAACAATATAGGGACATGCTTTATTAATAAACAACGTAAACATGAACATGGTCAGCCACAGGAGTGACCAACACCGATGTTTCGGCCCGTGTCTCATGAGTTTTCCTCAGCGTAGGAGGCTGATAAAATTTCAAAGGTTTATTCATTTGCCAGCTGCCGTTTGTACGTTTGTAGCCTGAAGACGTTCATATCGTTGTCACAGTTAATATTGTCTCAGGACCAGATGTCTCGTTGACAAGCCCATGCAGCAAATGTCTTTCTTTGATGATTCTGACTCTACAAAACACACCCTGACCATCGGAAAACTGTCAACGCTTTGCCGCGTGCCACACAATTCTTAGGTGATGTGAATAGCTAGAAAAACCTCCAAAAATGTACCAACCTCGTACCTTAAAAAGGCTCGTGAGACACATCCGAAAAATTGGTACTGGTTAATCTTACGATTGGTCAGAATAAACTGTTTTTTATGCGGTTTTTCCGTGGTATAGCATTCATGATTTCGCTTTTTCTGATGAAAAGTTGTGATTATCTGAAAAGGTAGTTTCCTGACTGATTTTTGTCCTGTCCTGTACATTCTGCGCTCTGGTTGCTTTTGTATTTCAGAAATGAATTTTTTCAAAATCGTCAATCAACTTCAGTGGCATAATTATAGACCACAATTTTTTCCATATCCGATTCCATTAGTCCTGTATGGATACGTGTTTCTGTTGCTTTGATAAATTGGGGTTAATTTTCCTGAACAGCAGGAACCCGGAGATAAGATGTGCCTCTCACTGAGTAAACGGTGTGGAATTAGGTAGATGAAATTGAGATTTGGTAAAATTTCACAATTTAGTTCAAAGAACTGTCACTCTATGCTCCAAGGCTATGCGTCTTGTCACTCCTAAATCAATTTCACCCGATCAGAAGGTTGAGAAATTTTTAAAGGCAAACGATGTAGCTTAAGAAAAGCTTTAACCATTTCCAAACTTGGTTAAACCGAATAAAATTGATTTTATCCTGCATATGGTGTAAGACTACGAGTTACAGATCCTTTGCGGATCCTCCTGAGGGTTTGGCAGTGATTGTGCATCTTCAGCTCGTTCACAAATCCCTTATCTTCACTTCTTATGGCTATGCGTATTCCATGAGCGCAACGAAACTCATCGTGCATACTGCGTCTTCCTCTCTCTACCTCTACCACTGGCAGAGAAACTTGATCATCGCATCGTCCCAGCATATTCTTCGACGACAAGGTGGGCGTTTGTGGTCCAAAGTCCGGAAGGCAATCGATCTGTCGATGACTCAGTCAGTCAGTTTCGAATTCCCATCTAGAACTGCGCAGGCAGACGCGTCAGAGAGTGTCCCCAACTTTCCTGATACTATCCAACATATGAGCACTGGTAAAAAATAGCCTCATTCTGTAAGAGAGTGTACTGAGACTCAGCTGCTGCGAGGACACTGTTGGGAGCAAACTTTATTCGCAGTCTAGCCGCACGGTCAGACAGAACCGATGAATAGGGAACTCATGAGGGTTGGTGGCAGCCGTGCTTTGGGAAAAAATCATGCATCCAATAACACGTTCATCAGACACCTCTGATTGTTCATGTGAAAGACTTTAAAGTCACATCCTCTGTTCGTAAATGCTTGAGGCCGGGATTCTCAAGACGTGTTTTCTAATCGTGTGACTGTAAAGCAGTCGCCACTTTCAACTATTGTTTCGAAGACGACGGTGGCAGAAATAATCTGACTGAAGATCTCTGTTCGCTCCTCGGACAGGTGATGACTGAATGTTGTACGTTGGGCTTAGAATGGCTTAGGCTGCTTTCGAAAATGTGGTCGTCGATTTCATTTTTGGTGTTTGACATTTTCATGCAAGTTCGCCAATGTC